GAGATTCTATAATCTCCGTGTAGAGCCCGTGTACTCTCGTGTACTTACCTCAGATGGTCAGTAACACCGGACCCGCTCTGTGTCAATCACGCTTGTTGCCCCATTCCCCTCTATGGACCGGATACGTGCGCATAAGTGCTTCTCAGTCAGTTTCCCCTTTTGGTGAACCCTGTTGAAGTTCTTCCCGCACCCCTGGCGGTCAGGCGTGGCGGAGCGCCAGACACCAGGTCCAGCACACATGTGTATGCCCAAGGTCAGCCCTTGTGCTGGGCTAGGTGCCCATGTGTAGTGATTCCCCAATAAAATAACAGCAATAGTGGCGTTTTCCATACGGATCCCAATTCGTCAGTCACTGATGTAACGTCGAACGTGACTGACTGAAAGGGAACGTCTCGGTTACGTATGTAACCCTCGTTCCCTGAAGGAGGGTACGGTGACGTTACATTCAGTCACCACAGTTGCTGTACCACCGAATGTGCGACTGCACGCGCTCTCCTTATATACCCGCGCTGCGGGGCGGGGTGCGCGACGCAAAGATCGCACTCCAACACTTATTGGCTTGTTTTGTTTACACTCGAAGGTGATTGGTCTCTCTAGCGAGGATCCCAATTCGTCAGTCACTGATGTAACGTCTCTGTCCCCTCCTTCAGGGAACGAGGGTTACATACGTAACCGAGACATTAGTCATGTAACAACAATGTATCAAATGACTGTTTAAATAGTTTTCAAATTATTTTTAAAACAGCAGGCAGTGTACAGATATTCAATAATGAGCTGCATGATTAAAAATCTTCACAGAGATTCAACTGATTCATTTGAGAGAGTGAGATCTTTGGAGAACATGAGACTGTAATGAGTCTGAAGAGAGGGTTTCTGTACCTTCAACATTCACTTGAAGATCTGTGGATGTTTCTGAGCAGTTTGAGCAATGATAGAGAGATAAAGTGTAATTCCCTGAATCTGCTCTGATTACACGGTTTATTATCAGAGTCCCATTAATGACTGCAACTTCAGTTCTGTTACTATAAAGATCACAATTCCTCATCCTGCCATTCTTTACTCTACAAACTGGATCAGTTGTTTTGTTGTAGTTTATTCTCTTTTGTATCTTCATATCGTCATATTTTCTAGCCTCCCGCACCATCAGCACATTGAGCTTGTGTCGCAGAGCTCCGTAACAGGGAACAGACTGATTAAACTTGCAGAACTGATCCAGACCTGAAGAACAAAACACACACACACACACACACACACACACTGATCAATGTGTATAAATATCTCTCGCATTATGAAATAAAATCAGACACAAATGACAAACATTTACAGAATCAAAGTTCAACAGAAAAAAACACATCTGACAGACACTTGATCTGATTTCACACATCTGATCTCAGGTCATCTAAAATAATCTTCATTATAAACAGATGCATAACTCTTTTCTGTAAAGAAATTGTCATTTGTGTCTCTCCTTCTGAATTACTATACTGAACAAGCTCACAAGCTTGACAGATTTAAGTGAAAGTTTAGTGTGTAATAAAAATAACTGCTACAATAAAACATTCCATTTAATTTAAAACACTAGTCTGTATGTCATCAGTCAAAAAGCAAATCTAAATGTTGATTTTATTAAAATAAACTATCATGCTTTCACTTTCTAACATTCTAAGGGGATATTCTGATAATGCAGAACATTGTGACTGTCCTGCACATTCTGTTTCTGTTAACCTGTGACAAGTCTCTCTTTATTAATAATGTCTCAATCATTCTGATATAATTTTTAATGGACAGACATTCTTTGATGAATCCTCCATATAATACAAAAATATTTTTTTAAAGAATAAATACGTTTACACACACTCTCGCATTTTTTAATACTCCAAATTGTTAAGAAGCTCAGCTGATCTATGACTAGATCACTGCAGACTCTTAATGTAATATTACAGCAGAAATGTTTCTTATCAGAAGTTCACCTGACTGAACAGCATCATAACTCACATGCAGCAGTTTGCAGCAGCAGCATCAGTCCAAAGATCAGCATCATTTCTCCAAAGACCAGTTTCCAGAAGAGCCCAATCCCAGCAGAAGAGTGTGATGCTGCTTCAGATCGTGACACGAGTGTCTGGACTTCTGTCCATCTCTGTTCTGGCTCTCATGAAGCGTCTTTACGGCGAGACTCAGACTGGATTGACACATGAGGAAATCTCTGACCTCTTCACTGAGGAAGGAGGAAGTTTCCTCTGATGGGGGAAGGCAGATGATGTTACATCTAAAACAAGAGTGTGAAACTAAAAGATGGAAAAAGAAGTAACATTTTCAGGCAAGAAAAGGAACAAGTGGGGAAGAGTTGTAAAATGACTAATTATGTAAATTACTTGACAGATTCTCCTGCAAATCAAATAAAGCAGTATCTTTACTGTATTGATGAAATGCTCTTGACAGTTGTATTGAGAGTAAACCAAAATCTGGTCTACATGTGAGTGTTATGCAGGCTGTTTGTAATGTCTTCCTCTCATTGAGTGTGTGATGGTGTTTGTAGCGTTTGACTCGGAACCAGTCAGTTCATGTGTGAATGAAGAGAGGATTCTGACCTTCAGCCTATCTGGATTCACTCTTCTGTTTACTGGAGCAGTGTAGCTACGAGCTGCTCTTGTAGAGAGCGACACCTGCAGAAGGAAACGACAACTACAGCTGAACTCTTTCCACCGCGCTCTGCTTCATTTAATTCAAAACCTCACTCTTTAAAATAAACTTAATCGTATCTATTTTAACTTATTTATAAGCTACATTTAAAAAATCTAATTTAAAAATTAGTTTTAAAAAAACTAATTAAAGAAGAACTAAACCTGTAGAAAACATCTCCTGGCTTGACAGGTGAAAGCTGGATTCATGTGAGATTCTGTGACATTTCTCATAGATGTGATGATCTGCTGCTGGTCTCATGAATCTTCTGCTGTGTGTTCATGTAGTACTCTGATTCTTCTCATTCTCAGTTTCTGATCTTCCTGATTCTTTCCTAATAGCATCACATTATCATCACCTTCACACTCAGGGAAACTGTCTGTTTCGTTGTGAAAGCTAAACTACTTAGTTTGGCCTTCCAAAAGAGGACATCGTCCTCCAAGAGGATATCGCTTCGTCATGCCTGGAGCTGATCCGTGCTGGTCGCTGAGGAAATACTACAACTTCGCGCTGTGGATCGCCGGATCGGCTTTCACTGTGGACGAAGCGGAGTCCAGCCGCCGAATCCAGCCGTCGAATCCACCGGCCGCGCCGTTCTCAAGCCCACCGGCCTCCGCTCACTCTAGCCCCCAGCCTCTGCTCACTCTAGGTCGCGTTGTGTGACACTGTTTCGTTGTGAAATCGAAAATACTTTGTTTGGCCTTCCAAAAGAGGACACGACTAGAAATCAGTGGTTAAGTTGTATTTACAACACTGTTCCAGAACAGTTCAACCCAAATATTCATATGTGTGCAGCGCATTTTATGGAGGACTGTTTCCTGATCCTGGGAGAGTAGACTACAATGCCGGCTGTTCTGACTCACAGACTGTAAGTACGTTTTCATTTTTAAAGAATTTGCCACTGACGATTCAAATGCGAGTTTTGAGCAGTGTAGAGTAGCACTTGTTGTTTGTCATTTCTCTGATCACAAATGCAGGCATGGTTTTATGTTTACGCGGCACGATGCAACGCAACGCGTAAAAATACAGTATAAGTCATTATAATCTGTAATTATGTCTCCACTGGATGCAACTAATGCCTCATTTATAATGGGTTTTATTGGTTTCTGAATCGTCGCTCCGGCCGGACACAGCATCACAGTATGGTAAGGGGCGTAACATTTCCGTCACACGCTTAAGGTATTCGGCCAATCACAATGAACTGGATAGCTGGCCAATCACAGCACACCTCGCTTTTCAGACCGATGAGCTTTGTAAGAATTGAAATACAGTATAAGTCATTATAATCTGTAATTATGTCTCCACTGGATGCAACTAATGCCTCATTTATAATGGGTTTTATTGGTTTCTGAATCGTCGCTCCGGCCGGACACAGCATCACAGTATGGTAAGGGGCGTAACATTTCCGTCACACGCTTAAGGTATTCGGCCAATCACAATGAACTGGATAGCTGGCCAATCACAGCACACCTCGCTTTTCAGACCGATGAGCTTTGTAAGAATTGATGCGTTTCAGAAAGGCAGGGCATAGAGTAGAAACAATAATGTACAGTATGTGGAAAATAATATGTTTTTTTAACCTTAAACCGCATAAACACATTTCATTACACCAAATACACCAAATAATGTTCTTTTTAGCAGCATCATATGACCCTTTTAATATTTGCATGTCAAATCCATAATGGTGATAATAAATGTCACTCACCTGACGTGTGTCTCATGTAGATGTGAAACCCTCCAAACAAACCCAAAAGAACCATCAGCTGAAAACACCAGACCAGCACAAACACAGACACTGAAAACACTGAAAACAACAATCAGACAGAAATCAGAACCCATCCTTCATGTTTCCAGAAGTGTGTTTAGAATCTCATTCGGATGTCTGTTTGCTACTGGTCACTGCAGAGGTCAAACTAGAGATCACAGATGCAGTAGTTGGTCCTGTAATAAAACATCAACACAGAATAACCTGCTTTCTCTCTTTGAACCACTTCAACACAATTCACCGAAGAACCCAATTAGGAGAACTGACTGTTTTGCATTGTTGGTGTTGATGTGTTTTTTATACGTGGACATTCATGTATTAACCCTCTCGATGGGTGAGATTTATACCAGCTGATGAGAAACTCATACCATATTCTGAATCTTTTGCTACAGTTAAGGTCACAGATGCAGTAGTTGGTCCTGTAACAAAAAAATCATTGCAGAATCACCTGTTTTCTCCTTAGTATAAATTACTGCAGAGTAATTTATAATTAATCATAATTTATCATTTTGAAGTATTACGTGGCCAATTAAGAGAATCAATTTGTTTAAATCTCATGAAACCTGTCTAAGTCATGTCCCGATCACATTTCAGTTCAAAATCTGATTAACTGTACTAACTGTAATATTTTGTATTCACGTTTCATTGAATGTTTTTAGTGGCATTAAACCATTTTGCAATCCTAGCCCATGAATTTACTCCTCAAATATCATTTCTGACATATGACGGGGAAAAAAATTTATACATTCTCAATGTATTATTGGAATATATATATATATATATATATATATATATATAATTACTATAATATGTGGAAAATAATTATATTATAAAATTGTAAAGTATACTGTACATACTGTAATGGTTGTATTTGTATTCCATCTTTAAATTATGGCAAATAAAATCATTATATTATCATCATAAAATACCTGAGAGAAACCTCATATGCAACTGCATAGAATGAAAATAAATGCAATTGCAGCAATAAGAATCAAAAACAATTATCACTGTAAATAATAACAAATACAAAAAAATCTAGAACATTAGAGTAAAGAACATTTAGGAAGCAGGAGTGCTTTTAATTCTCATGAAAAAAGGCAATGCAAATAAAATGAATGGGTTGTAAAATAGTCCTAATTTTCTTCATGCAAAATATAATTTATTTTGATTTGGGGGTGAAATGTTTGTTTGTCTGTTTATAATTTATCAACTGAAAAATATAAAAAGTAAGTAAATTAATAAAATACATATAAACAACAAACAAAGACAAAAAAGATTGACCTTAAGCTGGTCTAAATCTAGTCTTATTTAATAAAAAAAAAAAAAGAAGGGAAAAAACTCTTATGAATAAACAAAAATATAAAGAGTCCTAGAGGAGATAAAACCATCACAGTTCATCAAAATATGCATCAGAAATATTGCACTCTGGCATGAGAGGATTTTGTGGTGAAATGTGACTTGGACATGTTCTTGACAGGTTTTGTGAGATTCGCTCATCTTCATCACTCTTGTTGCTGTCACTGTGGTTTTTATAAATATGTGGACATTCATGTATTAAAAGCTCACCAGGACATTGTTTGACATTAACAGTCTTCTGTCTGTGACTGACGTGGTTCTTCACACTGCAGCTGATGTTTCCATCAGTTCCCTCATCCAGATCAATGCTGGAGTTTCCATCCATCAGTGGACCTCCATTCAGAGTCCAGCTGTAGAGGATCTGATCGCCCTCAGAGGAGCAGAAAACCCTCATCGCCCCACTGGAGGAGCAGCTGATTGACACTTCCACTGAGTCAATAGGAGCTGGAGGGAGGGACACGTGACCGTCACACAACTCCTTCTCGACTCAGTATAAGTCAATGTCAAGACATTTCTAAACAAAATGTATTGCTGAGGTGAAAGTTGGACTGAATTAAACATGCAGCGTACAGTAGGTTAGTCATGTGACAACAATGTATCAAATGACTGTTTAAATAGTTTTCACACTATTTTAAAACAGCAGGCATTCAATAGCTAATGAGGCGCATGAAGTATCTAAACCATTTTAAATAAAATGTTAGCTAAGTTTGCAAGGTAAAGTAATATGTTTACACTGTTATACTTTACAAAGAGAGATTTCTAATGAGAGTTTATTGAGATGAAGGAGGGGTTGATGAATTCAGACTTCTTTACTTAGGGTTAGGATTAGGGTACTTAAACTAAAATAGGGTAAATAGTAAACTTAAGGCCACAAACGTCAAATTTTGACTTCATGAGTCTGTAACACTTAACACTTAAAATAATAAAGACTAATACTAGAGCACTGCAGACTGTTCTGAAAACATTCTAATATAGTGCTTTTTTCAGAGATTTTTTTATTTGATTTAATTCTCTTTTTTTTATGCCATCAGCAGCATGAGTTTGGTGTGAAAGTGACTCACATGCAGCAGTTTGCAGCAGCAGCATCAGTCCAAAGATCAGCATTATTTCTCTAAAGTCCAGTTTCCAGAAGAGCCCAATCCCGGCAGAAGAGTGTGATGCTGCTTCAGTCACACAATCACTTCTCTCTCTGACAGAAAAGCCTGACTGACACTCATCTGTGTACTCACAATATATGAATACACCTATTGCAGTTTCTGTGAGAGAACAGGAATTTGACATCATGTGCTGATGCAGTTTTAAAGTCTTGCACAAGCCAAGTTTT